AAAACATCTTAGGCATTTTTTCAAGAAAAAATTGATAGCATTTTCGATTTGATCACACCTCAAAACCCTAAATACAAAATTTTATTATTATAGTTTTTACAAGGTGTTTATAAAATAGGTGAAACTTCGAATCATTTCACTTATTGCAGTGTCCTGTATTAACAGTGAAAAATATTTTTCAAGGTATTTTTTCATAATTTTATTAACCGAAGGTATATCCATGCAGTTTCATTAANTAATGCCCCCTTAATTTTTTACTTAAAGAAAGTTGTCAAAATAATGCAGGATTCAACGTGCAATTTTTAATCGCATGCAAACCAGACTCCATTATTCAACTGTCAATAAAGCCATTCAGATCCAAGACGGGATAACAAATCCGCGAAGTCGCCTTAAAAATTCCTGCGAGTCTTGCTGAGATTTATACAGGCAGGCATATTGTATTTCACCTGCGCCATGCCCACTTTGACCAGACGGGTATTTTTCGCATCATCTAGCTGGCGGTGTGGGTGTGTCATTTTTAATTTATCGCGGCTGTTAGAAAAAAGAACGGGTAGGTATGCGCCCTGAGCCATCGGGATCCGCGTAAAAATCCCCGGTTCTCATGTGTGAGAGAGAGGACCGATCCATAAATCATTCTGTAATGAAATATTTCGAAAAGTTGCCTTGAGCAGTTTTGTCTTCTAATCGGTAAAGGACTGAAAAAACCTATATGTTATGTCCTTGAAAGTTCCTTTTTTTACTCTATTCTTCAAGATTGTACATTATCTTACAGTCATTTATGTAAAGGTGTCGTTAATACTATTGCCAAATTTATCTACAGAGTATTAGTCAAAATTAATACAAGCAGATCAATGAACTGCCGTAGATAAAACTACCAGTACCAAATATGTTCCTAAAATTCTCGTCTGATTTTTGACATCCATATCCAGGTAAGCTAAAAAGCAACTTCAAAGTCAAATTATTAATAACTAATAACTAATGATGTTGTAGAAAACAACTACCTTGCGGACTAAATCTTATATCCCACCCAGATTAATTATGAATTATCTAAAAAAATATTTATTTCAATAATCAAACAATATAACCCTTCTGTTCTCTTTCGTGTTTCTAATTTCATCTCTTTGATAATATTGCGTTATTAACCACAATAGATGAGCTACCCTATTTCTGCATTTTAATGATTACTTTTTCGAGTGGCATCTTTTTTTAAATTAGAACTGATGTCTGAATATTTATAGACATTAAATTTGAACCTACCTATCAATTGTAAAGTAATGACTTGCCCTTTTAACTAAATCGTTTTTTCATTATCATTTTGTTACGCAGACAGGTCTTTAACTTGTAGAATAGTTGTTCATACAATAACTTTAGTTATTAATTAAATAGCTTGTCTTTGAANTATTGCGCAAACCATACCGTGCAGGCAAGTCGCTGTCGTGTAGCCGCCGCATTACAGTCATTTATGTAAAGGTGTCGTTAATACTATTGCCAAATTTATCTACAGAGTGTTAGTCAAAATCAATCAATATCTAGGTAGGTATGCTAAAAAGCAAGTTCAGAGTCAAATTATTAATAACTAATAACTAATGATGTTGTAGAAAACAACTACCTTGCGGACTAAATCTTATATCTCGCCCAAATTAATTATGAATTATCTAGATAAAAATACTTATTTCAATAATCAAATAATATAACCGTTCTGTTCTCTTTCGTGTTTCTAATATCATCTCTTTGATAATATTGCATTATTAACCATAATAGATTAGCTACTCTATTTCTGCATTTTAAAGACTACTTTTTCGAGAGGCACCTTTTTTTACATTAAAACTGATGTCTGAATATTTATAGTTATTAAATTTGAACCTACCTATCAATTGTAAAGTAATGACTTGCCCTTTTAACTAAATCGTTTTTTCATTATCATTTTGTTACGCAGACAGGTCTTTAACTTGTAGAATAGTTGTTCATACAATAACTTTAGTTATTAATTAAATAGCTTGTCTTTGAAGTTGATTTTTAGCATACCTAAAGGAAGTCAAAGACCATATATGATTGCATTAGATTAGAATTTTAAGTAATTAGAGTTTTAGACTTGATTTGTATTAGCTTATCCTTTTAAAGTAAAGTAAAAGTATAAAAGCTAATATTAAAAATGCATAATTAAAAAAATTGTCTTACTCGAAGACACAAACTTTTATAGTCGATAGGTATCGGCCTTAAGTTCTTAAGTGTATTTTCTCTGTATTGCTTTTTATACCAGTGGTCGTTATATGTATGAATGGTCGTCACATTGAACAAAATTGGAATAAATCTTCAAAAAATTATTCAAAATCCATTTAATCAATGCCAATAGAACAATGAAATATCTTTTGTTCCTTCAGAAACATGTAGATATATTTCGTGCATTCACCAGATAAAGAAGGTTTATCAATATCAAATTTTCTTTGTGGCTTTCGCATATTACTCAATATCAACTAATATCGTCATCGACACCTTCACTCTTTTGTTATTTTGCTTTTTTTGGTAATAAAATATTTTTTCTTGCTCCATTTTGTGCTTTTTCGTGTTTGCTCTTTTTTCAATAAAATTTTGCTTTTCTGCTCTTCTCATTTTTTATAAACGGAAAAAGTATTTTTAACAACTACAACTGCCTTCATGATTTCATTTTAGTCAAAAGAATATAGTTTTGAAACGAAAAGAGAAAATCTTTCGAAACATGAATATATATTGTGAAAACTGTCATAGTGATGTACGAAAATTTCTTTCTCCATTCTCAAAATTATAGGCAAAAATAATTGATTAAAAGTCAAACCCCGACTGATCTTCATTTTGAACAGAAAAGTTCATGTAGATAGGTCGTAAATCGTTTCTTAATCGAGATACAGGATGTCCAATATAATTTTTGTTTTAACTTTTCATGATATCCAAAATACAACAAGTACTACCGAAACCAAATTGGATATGTCTTGTGGTGACATAATGTACCTTAAAAATAACGTACAAACGATTCACTACAGCCACCAGTGGCGTGGTAGAAGTTTTCTACCTCCGAGTTTTTTTGAAATTTCATAACATTTTTGACGTCGCTGGCTAATGTTAAACGAAACGTTACTCTCACAAAATTATCATAAAATAACAGGATAACAGTAAATGGCGTGAAACCCTTTTGGTGCACATGAAGATTACATCTATAACGATAAATTTGTTATTAAATAAACTGTAAATACAGAATAATATAGCAGTAAATTAATTTTCTAATTGTTCATCACATAATTTGATGTAACATTTATTTATCTCAAAAAATGAACATTATAGTCTTCTTTGTTATGTTTCTTACAGCCTGTTTCTTACACCATCTTTAGCGTATAAAAATCTGTAATATTGACAGAGACAGGCACAGGCTGCGATCTCCAAACTTCAATTATTCTGGATCTCTCTGTACATAACTGTGGCATGATGATACATTTTTAATTCCCAAAAAATTTGTTCTTTATAAAAATTTTCCAAGAGCAATAATTTACCGCATTACAATTTTTTTATAATTATTTATAACCACTGACCCTGTTGAGGTACGCTACTGAAACTNATGCAGACAGGTCTTTAACTTGTAGAATAGTTGTTCATACAATAACATTAGTTCTTAATTAAATAGCTTGTCTCTGAAGTTGATTTTTAGCATACCTAGATAGCATACATTAGATAATTTTAAGAAATTAGAGTTTTAGACTTTAAAGTAAAGTAAAATTATAAAAGCTAATATTAAAAACGCATAATTAAAAAAAATGTCCTACTCGGAGTTCTTAAGTGTATTTACTCTGTATTGCTTTTTATACCAGTGGTCGTTATACTATGTACGTTATATGCCAATAGAACAATGAAATATCTTTTGTTCCTTCAGAAATATGTATTTCGTGCATTCACAAGATAAAGAAATATGCTAAGGTTTATCAAATTTTCTTTCTATTTCAAAATTATAGGCAAAAATAAATTATTAAAAATCAAACCCTGACTGATCTTTATGGCGCAATATTTTTTTAATTTACAGCTTCGTTAAATACTCAAAACAGAAAAACTACGTATTTCAAATTTTTATTGAAATTTACAACACAGACTCAAAAATTTACTGTTAGAACTTGATTCGTCAGCTATATTGTGGCATACAGGGTGTTCCCTTTTTGAAAGTACTAAGTTTAACTGTTGATAGAGGACTTCATTTTGAACAGAAAAGTTCATGTGAAGATAGGTCGTAAATCGTTTCTTAATCGAGATACAGGATGTCCGATATAATTTTTGTTTTAACTTTTTTCGTGATATCTAAAATACAACAAGTACTATCGAAACCAAATTGGGTATGTTTTGTGGTAACATAATGTACCTTAAAAATAACGTACAAATGATTCACTACAGCCATCAGTGGCGTGGTAGACGGGTAGTCAGTGCCCCTGTTAGTTACTCTCACAAAGTTGTAATAAAATAACAGGATAACAGTAAATGGCGTGAAACCCTTTTGGTGCACATGAAGATTACATCTATAACGATACATTTGTTATGAAATAAACTGCAACTACAGAATAATATAGCAGTAAATTATTTTTCTATTTTTTCATCACATAATTTGATGTAACTTTTATTTACCTCGAAAAATGAACATTGTAGCCTTCTTTGTTATGTTATTTTTATACCGAGAGGTCCAGAATGATTGAAGCGTTTGGGGAACGCAGCCTATTTTCTAACACACCATATTACTGTGGCATGATGATACATTTTTAATTATTTCCTAAAAATTTGTTCTTTATAAAAATTTTCCAAGAGCAATAATTTACCACATAATAATTTTTTTATAATTATTTATAACCACTGACCCTGTTGAGGTACGCTACTGAAACTGATCCTAAAGGGACAACATCAATAATAACAATAAAGAAACGCAAGAGAATTGCATTTTTCTCGTAACAATTACAGGATTTTGGCTATTATCAAAGAGATTCTCCTTGTTGCAGATGGCCAGCATAGAGGTATCGTTGTCCAGTACCCCCAGGAGAAAGAAGAACGGCAGCCTCAGTGGCATCAGCTTAGGTTCGTCGATCCGTTCTATCCCCAAAGAACTAGCCGCCAAAGAAATAGAGAGCCTGAGGAACGCCCTTAGAGACAAGGAGAACATCATACAGAGCCTCAAAGGTCAGTTAACCGTGCCCGGGTTGAGGCTGAACAGCATGAAAAACTGCAGCAATAACAATAACATTATAACGAACAACAAAGAACTGTCGGAGACAGAGAAGAAACATGCTGAGGATAGGCTGTGCCGATTGAAAATCGACGTGGACAATAAGAGGCTTACTATAAAGAATTTGAAGATGGCGTTGGAAAGATTGGATATAACAGAGTAAGATAAGAGTTAATGAGAAGAATATTTCAGATTGATTCTAAGTTCATTATATTTCCTTTCAGTAACATAGACGTTCGGATCCAACAGGCAGAGTTAGAGTACCAACTGGGAAGGGAAGAACTTAATCTGCTAACACTCCTAGAAGAGACCAGGGCTCTTCAGCTGTGCATAGAAGAAAGCAACAAAAACAACTGCGAATGTCATACGTTGTACAGGTAATTTCACAAGCAAGTTACCACTATCAGTAACCGTTATCATTCCCATTTTTGTCTTTTAGTTGCGTTGAAGGAGGCGAATATGTAATTCTACGTGCAATTGAGCTGAATTATGATCCAAAAAGTCCCAAATTCGGCGCTGGTCAGAAGGACTCGACTCCTGGATTGTGGGTGGAATGGGCTTTAGAGGAAACAGGATTATGTAAAGGAGATAGGTAAGTAAATAGAACGTCTTTTTATTGTTTTACATGATCATCAATAATCACAGCCACACAAAAAATAGACTTTCGGGTCCAGAGGTCGGATCATGTTTATTATACGTTTTTTGGGTCGCTGAATCCGAATCCATTTAACCCTATCACCCTCAGGATATTTCATAACCTCAAAAAAAAAGATATTCTGGAAACCATAACATTAAGGCTCACAAGCTTCCAACGCTAAATCCAATTAAATAAATCTCACAAACATTTAACCCAATGATATCCCAACCTAATAAGCCCATGAACCCAAACCCTAATAACCCTATAACCCCATAACCCCATAACCAAAGGAATAAATCATAGACAACCTGTATTATTGCAAAACATCACATATCCGAGGGGTCGTTGAAGATCCAAGTATTCAAATTCAAAAAAATTCTCATAACCCTATAACCCCATAACCCCGTAACTTCATAACCCCATAGCCCCATAACTAATAAATCATAAGCAATCTGTATTATGGCTAACATTAACGTGGTTGAGGATTTTCATTGCATTTAACCTAGTCAAAAGAGATTCTTAACATTAATCATTCATTTATTTATTTTAGTTTTATTGATTAATTTATAGTACCGTCTATCCTACAAATTATTTTTTTTCAAAAGCTCTTATGAGAGCTATATGATGTACGAAATTCGATCGCGCAACCATCTCGTGGTGTACATCGGCTAATTCCGACAGTCCTACCAGTTAAAGTTATAAAAAAAAACTAGATCGACTGTTACACTCGATTCTTTGGTGAATGAGATCAAAGTACAAGGTAAAAAAGTTGTGGTTAGGGAATCGTGGGGTTATGAATTGTAGGGTCATGGGGGTGTTGGGGTTTCAGTGCATAGGTTTATACCCTTGAAGTATGTAACATTCGATAGGTGACACCCTATATATCGGGTGTTTTTAAAGTTGTGTCATTTATTTTAACAGCTGGTAGAACTCGTAAAAAAGTCGATTTACCAAAAATGGTTTATGTAAAAGTTGCAGAAGAAGAGAATTATAAAAACCCTGTTCTACAAAAATTGTTCAAAATTGTTACCATTTGTTTACTGTTTTTACAACGCAGTGGTCGAAAATAACAATAAATCACGTTTGTACTATAAAGTTTTTAAATATCATTTTTTTTTAATAATTGCTTTATTTGGCAACTTTTATATAAACGATTTTTGGTAAATCGACTTTTTTTACGAGTTCTACCAACTGTTAACATAAATTACTCAACTTTGAGAACACCCTGTATGTAAGTATTTGCATATTAGTGTGAAATAAAAAGGGGCAGTGTATATTTTTCTACACTAAACCCTTCAGATGGTATAATACGTAATAATAAGTACCAGCAAAAGTTAACAAAATAATAATTTCTTACTAATAGGGAAAACAATAATTGTAGAAAATACTTAACAGTGTTCCACGTGTTCGGCGATCGGTAAATACCCATTTCAAAGATGAAAATAACCGTTCAATATTTACCGGGGTCACAGGCGCATATTTAAAATGGTCGAAGTTTTTAATAAATATTAATGGTAGCGAAGCATCAACTACTCCACATTTTAATAATCCTACTATCCGCATCATTGTACAATAACATGTACATGTCTGCCTTTGATCTGAAGCTTCGCATCGATCAATTTATTCAATTGTCAATAGCGTTGTGTATTGTGCGTATAGAGCGACACAGATTTAACCTATTTCTGCTACTGTAACACTCATTGCAACTTACTAGCTAATATAGGTACTGTTTATTAATTTCATTGTCGCCACAAAGTTTCCGATGTCTATTCATCACTAAATTATTATAAAAAAAATGTTTTCTTTGCAATCCTAAAATCTGTTGGTACACTTAATACACTAATACACTATTTAATAAAGACGTGCTAATAGGTCGACATGTACAGAGAATCATCACCATTATGCAACAGGTATCTTTAAATAACAATCCGTTAATTTGCCAAGGAAATTTTCTCATATACGCACCTAACAGCCAATTAAGTCTCAGATACCCGTGGAATTAAAGCCGAGATGAGTTTCTTCACAATCGGCCGCCACAATACTCGACCCTAGAAAGATCGACGAGGCAGTTGTAAGTTGAATGCGTCGTGTTAATTACTATCGCATCAAAGAACATTAATCCGCCAAATAATAAGAGACTCCTCGCTGTGTTCTCACATTTAAATAGATTGAATTAAGAATGGAATGGTAGTCGGCGGAATGCGGGGTAGTGGTTCTCAATTATTTTCTAATATTTGATTGGTAGGTACTTACGAAGTAGTTTCGCAAGGGCAACGAATCCAAGTAAAACACCGCCAAGGTGTACTACCTAAATTTAATATGTATTTTGTAGTTCAAAATACGCTAACCTCTGATGCATGTAAGAAGCCACTCTTCCCTGAAAAAATCACATGTCAATGTAACAGATTATTCTGTAACACAACCACATGTGGATCTAAATGCAAATAGCTAATATCGCTTTAACCATTAAGGTATTATAATGATTTCCTCTCTGGGAGGTTATTAAGTAGCTACTAATCATCTAAAAGTATTTAAAAGGAGCAATCAAATGAGATTTATTAACATTTAAACTTTCCCGCTACTTTCAAACCGTAGTAATTACATTTACCACATGGGCAATCTCGTACATACTTTGAGTAATGTATTAAGAGGATTTGATGCATATTTAATAGCAGAACAGCTTTTAAATAATATTTTCTGACAATGAAAACGAAGATAATGTCTGGTTTAACATGTGTAACAATGAAAATTTAATGTGTTTATTTTAGTAGTGAACAAATATCGTTAAGAAGCTAAAAATTGCTGGTATGTTATTTAAAAGTAGTTATACTCTCTTCAGACATGCTATTTAAGATGTATATAAGGTGTTTCAGGTTACTAAGCCAAACACAAATTTGAATTTAATAGGTCAGAATAAGAAAAAAACGTTGTATTTGTGTTCAAGAAATAGGGCGTTGAAAGTTCTTTAAATAAGAAATTTGATACAATGATGAAGCTTTGGGAAAGGTAAAAATTCACTGAATTAAATACGTCTCTTAGTGACGGAGACACTGGGAATCACCATGGGCGTAGCTAGAGGGGAGCAGGGGTGTGCATGGTGTCCAGCCCAGAAAAAAACTTTAAAATAATTGGTGTGAAAATTTGGTACTTTTTCCGAAGCTATTCAAAAAATGTAAAATATCTAAATCTTAGAAACACAACTAGAAGTTAGAAAGTAGTGTCGAATTTCCAAAATTCTTAGTGATAGCGATTCCCGGTTATCCGCTACTCGTATCTATTTATTCGAATACAGTGGATTCGTACATCGCTATAAATACCAAATGTCCTTTATAGTCCACTTTTTAAAAGAAATAATTCATATACAAATAATATTTTGTCCATGGATAGTTTATGTTAGTAGAAGTAAGGACCCGAAAAATTGCCACCCTAACTGTGGACGCAACTACCTTTTTTTCAGGAGAAACTACCCTCAGGCGGGACTTAACTACGGTTTTTCGCGTTTTTCTTTGAAACCATCACGCTGACGGGAAAAATTTATAGAAACGGAAATGTTCTCTATTAAATTTTATACAAAAAATGTCCTATATGTACAGATACCCACAAACGACTCCACATCACGAGGACTCTCCAGCGAATACTTCCATTTCACTAACTTGTTTTCAATAGAATGTAGATTATTAACCCATCCTCCACTAATTTCCTTTTAAGTGATGGTTTCAAAGAAAATCGCGAAAAACCGTAGATAAGTCCCGCCAGGGGGTAGTTTTTCGTGGAAAAAGGGTGGTTGCGCCCCTCGTTAGGGTGGGAACTTTACAGGTCCTTACTTCTACTCCTATAAACTATACCTGGACAAAATGTTATTTGTATATTAATTATTTGCCGTTTCTTCGGCTAATTAGCGAGGACTGTCAGAGATATTTAAGAAAATGTGAAATTTTTTTCAAATTTTAAAATCTTGTATCTCGGAAACGAAGATTTTCCGAACATTTATACATATGACTTTTTTGTTTTAACCATTTAAATTCAAATTTTAAGTTTGGCAAATTAATTTTGAAAGTAAGAAATCATAAATAATATTTTACAAATTTAGGAGGGCCCTAATGGCTATAGTACCTACAAAACTCACTTAAATATAGTGTAAAAACTGAAATAAAGCGGTGCTAAATGGGGTTTCTAGTGGTAATACTCGTATATGGCAACTGTCTTTGTATTAAATTAGAAAAGTGAAATTTCCTGAATATAATAAATGTAGAAATAATAAATCATTCAGCATCTCTGTAACGTTACGCAAAACTTTCGTGTTTTTTCACAGGACATGTAGCGTAATCATGACATGACAGACATGATACAATAAATGTTTCTCATATGGTTTAGGAAAGTCTTTACAGAAACGGAAGTAACGTCTTAAGCTGTAATAAACAAGAAACGTAGACGTTTTTCTAGAAACTTCACAATCAAATGTTTCTCAGATTCACACAGGATTTATATTTTTCTGCGTTAACATTTAAAAGCTTTGCCGAGAAGAGATACCAGGGTGATTTAAAAAGATGGAGGTCTTAAACCGAACATTACAATTTTTATCTTTTGTTACTTTCAGCTTGTCATTGAATTTTATATTAATTTATATAGGTTTAACAAGTAGAAAATGTTTGCAGTTTTTTGATTTTGTAACTATTTTTAATAGATTCTTGGCAAATATTATTACATCGAGTGTTTTCAGTATTCACAATATTTAATAATTTTAAATACCTAATTATAAATAAATAAACTTACAATTTTATTTTCAAAAATTTTATATATATATTTTTTTGATAGCCTAAGTAGTGTATATTAGCACTAAGTAACTATTTTTTTTGCTTGTTTTTGTTTCTAATTAACCGACTATGTGTTTCAACTTATGATCCACGTATAACAAAAATTTTGAAACTGAAAAAATTATATTCTCTTTAAACTTGTTCTTCTGTTTTCAAAAAGTTCCCGAAAAGAAAAATATTAGAAGTTATTTTGATGAGTTAAAAGTTAAAATTTTAGCACTTATTTCTGAGACGCCCTTATAACATTTCACATTACCCTCGTATAACTAATTTTGTTACCAGTCTTACTACATCGCCGTCTTACAAAACATTCCTCGTAGGCAAATTATAAGATTAATTATTTTCCATGTTACATTATAATTAAATAATGTGAGGATTGTGTTCAGATGTAAACAACATAACCCACGCGAGTTTTAACATCGTCATACCATCATGCAATCTTCTCTGGAGTTACAAAAACTATTTGCTATTTTTTTGTTACGTTTTTGTTCTGAATATATTAGATTGTTTCAGAATCCAAACTGACATTATTGTCGCATTTTGAAAACTAATTGCACCACTTCCGTCATTAAAAAAATTATGTTCACTATACCTTGAAAATGAGGCAGTAAATGGCCTTATTTTGTTCAATGATTAATCGCAGGCTGCTGTGGAAAACATTTTTAAATCAATGTACTTCCTGTTGAAAATTTTAAATCCACAGTTTTTAATACTTTGTCGTGTACAGGAATATATTATGTGTTTCTATTAAAAAGTTTCATAGATTTAACTTTTTAATATAAACGCTGGGACGGACTGAACGTTTTATTTAAAGATAGCTCCTATTTTTTTTAATAGCTACAAAAATCGTAGACATTATATAGGTAAGTACATATTTAGAAAGACAGATTGAGCTAAAAATTGTACTGTACCATCCAACGATTAATTTATTAGGTACCTTTAACGAAACAGGCCGGAGAGTTAACCGGAAAAGCACCCATTTAACAATGAGAATAAAGTGAACAATCGTAACCTTCCACCCGTAGATCCTGTATACACCTGTGGTAGGTAAAACTACTGTAATTATAAAAAAAGGTATTGTGTTCCTGTACTGAGAATACCAAGAATTTACAACGGTAACTAATGCATAAGATCCAAATTATTTTTAGTCATGAAATTAAAATAAAGAACTTTTTATTATTTGGATTATGTTACATAAAAGGGCATATATTGGAAAGGTACTTTAATTTTGAAAATCGTGGAAAAACATTAAAAATAATTAAAGAAACCGCTGTGTCTAAAGATCAGTCAAGATTATTTTTTATTAAACTGTTTTGGCCAACTAAAAATCGCTCACTGAAAACAGCAAATAAGTAAAATTACTCGTCACTATATCACACATTAGGTATGTATTCAATGTGTGCATGGAATTTTTGCACTTTGTTTTGACCATTTGTTTATTTTAAATATTATTTTCGTAAGTAATAATTATCTATCTAATATTTTTGAATAGGAAAAACATTTTGAATTTATTTATTCACATCTTCCATCTGGGACAAATTTAAAAATAAATAACTCATTTACATATCTCATTTTTGCATTTAAAATATATCATGAAAAAAAAACAGATTAAAAAAAATTGGATCATAAAAAATAAATTATTTTTTTGTCTAACTTATATGATGCGAAGGAGCGAAGGTTGTACTTATTCAACTGATATAACAAAAAATACTAACTTTAATAAAATTAGTACGTTAAGATACCGAATTTTGTTAGCAATATGGAAGACAGAGAACAGAAAAAAATTACAAATATTGTATTGTACATACCCCAGCGTGAGAGCACTAGTGTGAACAATGTCTCCGTAATTCTGTCGTAATTCTAAAATCAATATTCTATTAGTCTCTACTTTAATTTGTTTTATTTTTATATTTTTTATCTGAAAAATGACTTATTTTGAAAACACAAAACTAACCTGCGTAATTTGGGTATGTAATAAATACGTTTGTATTTTCAATACACTTATGATTTCCATTGTTGATTTTTTTGTGGATATTATGCAAATACCTATAAAATAATACATAATAAATATTATATTATGAATATGTTTATAAGATATTAGGTATATTTTATGTAGTCATAGGCGCCAACTTTTAAAACTTTTGTCGGGTGCTCGGTTGCCTTATAAGCATTTTTTGCCAGATAACATTAAAAAGCAAGAGAAATGAGTCGTCATTTGAAATAGCATGAGGTAAAAGATTTAAAATACGTATTTTTCCGAATTAGATTTTATGAAAAACTTTAAAATATATAAATCGAAATTAATTAAACTTGTCAGAATAAATGAACTTTATTACTGTTTAGATATAAGTTTCAAAAATTTAACAATCGTAATAATTTTAACAAAAAATAAACTTCTATGGAATAATAAGTGAAAATATAAGTATATGTACTATGTAGACGTAAAAGTAGGTAGCACAGAAATATACTATTCTAACAAAACTGATAATAATTGTTGCGGGTGCTTGAGCCCCAGAGCACCCGAGAAGTCGGCGCCTATGCATGGGAATAAAAATAGTAATAAGAATTTTGTATCTGATTAGGTAAATCTTTGAAACCTGTGATAGAACCGGTTTGGTCCAATTAAACGCAAAATCCTTATTCTTATTTACTATTCTTATTCTATAAAAACATCAAAACTTTCGCTACAAACGTACTTTAAAGAAGCATTACACGTTATTGAAAGTTAATCTTTGCATTTTCGCTCCTCTCATCTCAGCACTGATAAAGTCGTGGTTATTATTTAAAAAATCCATAACCATGAACAAACCTACTTTTGGCAAATTAGAAGAATCTGCTTTTACGAAATTTGCTTCCATTTGTTAAATTTAATATCCACAAACACTAAATCATTCTGCAGATGCAGAAATTCATCTGGAAGTAGCGCCAAGCCGGTTGACCGTCCCATGCGGTGACGTCATTGCATTGCCACGGCTGAGACAAATATTTGCATTTTAAAAATCATATAGTTTGAGAACCGCTCAACGGATTGAGTTGAAATTTTCAGGATCGCCTAATCATGAGCAATAATTTGTTTATACAAAATAAGAACATTTTTGAAAATTTACTGAATAACCCCATTAATCAATTTAGATAATGTTTCTAAAAATCAGTCTTGTTTTTTTCCCCTAAAAATGTATCTTTTTTAATTAGGTTCGTTAGTTCAAATTTGTTTTTTTTTTCTGTTTTCATGGCAAGAGATATCATATTGCCCCTTTTTCACCACAATTGTAGGTATCTAAGAAAAAATGACTGACTAACTGACTACAATGTGTACTTTCCGAAGATAAATTTAAAAGCTTGGATCAGCAGTATGTACTATTTAATCCAACCCCATAAAAAGATTTCACAAGGGTTAAATCTGGTGACCTAGTCACACAACTGGTCCTCCATAACATATACCCGCTTATTACGAAAAGTAATGTCTTAAGAACCCTCGCACTTCACGATTGAAACCATGTAACAACCATGATGTTAACAGGCACATCTTCTAGAAAACCCAAACTATTAAATGGTCGAAAATTTTGAAAATGAATCAAATATATGCAACCACTTATACCTCACTTCCCTTAATTTAAAATATAATTAATGTTTAATACTTACTCTTTTCAGATTGATTGAAGTTAATGGCAAAATAGTTGTAACAAAAACCAGAGACGATCTTACAAGGTTATTGGCCGCGGCTCCGGATCCTGCCCAAATAGTAATCCTGCGGAAATTATCGCAAAACGATACAGTGATTCAATTTAATACTTCTTCAAAAGAAGTAGCTGCTCTTCGATCAGAATTAGAGATAATCAAGGAAAGAGCAGAGGAGGCTCAGAGGATTAAAGAAGGACTTAGATCCGATAATATCAGACTCACTCATCGGATATCATATCTTGAGGAACAGGTAATCTTTTCATGTTCTTAAATGTGAGGAAATTTTATAGTTCTTTCATTCCTAAAGTACTTTTCACTTTATAGAGTATTTTCCCTTTTCTAGGTCGCTGAGTTGCTTGTGCGGAAATCACCAGAAGACATAAGAATAGTGTCACCCACTCCAGTAATATCGTCTGTAAAATCCAGTAAAAATGTCACCAATATCAACATCACCGCTCAGTCTTCTCCAACCAATTCTGATCTGCAAGTGTTCCAAAAGGGATCACAAATAACAGCATTGATGCCAAACAACTGTATTGAATCAAAGGACTCGCCCATCACCTTGCCAGTGCGATCCAAAAGTAGTCTTTCGAATGTATCAAACACGCATATACCCGCACCAACACAGAACGCCGAGTACCATTGTCACAAGAACCAGTATAGTCGGAACAAGCATAGATCTTCAAGAAACGGATTGCAATCACCACTGTGTGGCCAAAGTGTGGATAATTCTGATAAAATTACATACCGAAAACACAGCCATCATCATCACCACAGGGAAAAATGTTACGGTTCAGAAACAAACTCTGCGGTCGATCAGACGAGGTACAACAAGAAGAAACACGAGAATCACAGGTACTCTGCAGAATTTGCTAATACAAATTCTGATAAAGAATATTCTAGTGATATCATGGATCAGAGCTATAAGAAGGCCACGAAGATAGTACATGAACTTACCAGGAGTAGGGACAGCACCCTGTATGAGAAACACCGTCAGAAGTGTCTCACTGCTTCTGAGAAGTACAACACGGACATTCTGAAACATTACAACGCAAGGAAATCAACCTCGGTGCTCGATTTTCGTTCCGAGATCCATATAGGTCCGAAATACACAGACTCGAAGAGTGTGGAAAACCTGGATACCGTGGAAGCAATCAGAAATGATCGGTTGTATAAAAAAATTCAAGATTCGAGGAGTGTCAAGTCTCTAGATTTTGACAGCGATTGTAACTCTACTAGCACGAGTTGTAGAGGCACGAGTCAAACAAAGACAGTAGATTATACTTCAGAGCCTTCTAACGATAGCAGAAAGCTGTCTTGTTACTACGAGAACAGCGCAAAACCAAGACCCACACCTCCTAAGAAACCACTCAGGCTGTCGCTTCACAAGACACACAGTTTACAGTCGGTCGATAATGGCTCGGATGTGCAAGGGAAAGGGGAGAGGAAATCTATTAAGAGGAACTACAAAGGCGAGATTCCGGTTAGTGTTAAAAATGAACAAAACGGTGAAATAAACATGCAGCAAAAAATAAACTGGAACTACAGGAGAGGGACGGACAGTTTGGAAAATGGAAGCTGGTGTTGATAGCGTTTGTATATATTTGTAGTTTTAAATGAAACCCAATTTAGTCGGTAAAGTGAAAAACAATTTTGATTCAAAATTGAACTAGGAATTAACTGTTCAAAGCAGGATTTCTTTGATATATTTTTTTCTTCCTAATCGAAATATACTCAAAAATAATCTTAAGTAAAAGTGCATTAAATTTTTAGTTAAATTGACTGATAATAAACTATTTTTTTTTACTTTTTTTGTTATATTCTAGACCTTTTCCGTTATTGATTTAAGAGATTAATCAGTTAGATTCGAGGATACGACCAGTACATTAAATTGTTAGCAATAATGATTGCTTTAATCCTTTAATAAATTCTGCATTTTGCGTATGGCACTATTGTCGTTTTAATTAAAGCAATAAATAATAACAAACTACTGTATCGTTAAAATTGGATCGAGAGGGAAACAAATTTTCTGAACATCAGAAAAGAAACTGTCTTATTTTCTTAGCTGACCTATTATGTGAACTGTATACCTGAAATGTAACAATTTTGTATGTTTTTTACATAAAATATCTTGTGTTTGGAGGTGTATTATAAAATTGTTTTCTCAAATACCCTCCTGAAAATCACATTATTTTTTAACATTTTTTTTCATAATTATTTTTGTACTCGTTCGCTGGATATTCTAGTCTAACCTCAAACATACCACTTAGGAGCTACAGCATTCATTACAGTGAAATATTTCTTGATTCATATGAATGTTTTATTGCATCATAAAGAAATTTAACAATGAAGACACACAAACACATCGTGCCCACATTAAACACTGAAAATGTAATATTATACTTACACTACACAAGATAATAATATTTTATGCAGAAAGTCACAAAATTACCTGGCACCCTTGCTGTCATATCACGTTAAGTGGATTGATATGTAGTTAACCTAAACTAGGTCAATATCGGAGGTCTATGACAATGGGAGTCACAAACTAAACAAAGTGCTTAAAAAATAGTAATATTTTTAATAAAGGCTTGAAATGATTTAAAAAAAATAGTTCAAATTTATCAGATTGGTAGGTATTTTGATTTATTTTTAAAATGGTAAAAATAATTTGTCTATTACCAATATTAAGTTTAAAAAATCATGCAAAAGCTACAAATTTTATAAAAACATTTGAAAATGTTTTAGTTTAGCGCTTTGTCTGTATTGACAAAAAAAAAATATGGTGACTAAAATACTCTGTAGCAAAGTTATAAAAAGCAATCTTTTTAGAAAATTATTTTCCATCGCAGTTTCATTCTCTGCCACTGTTAGTTTTGTGCAGTTGGTTTAAAAAGATCTCAACTAGTAACACTGATGAGTGTACAAATACAACCGAGTTTGGAAACTGCCTAATTTGATGATTTATATAATGTATACAGGCTGTTACAAATTCGCTTCTCACTACAAGGATCTCGAAAACGGTAAGAGATATGAACTAGCTTAAATAGGGGCAATGTTGCGTAGTCAAGGGACCAAATGCCCCCACCAAATTTCATTTGCACATCTCGACCGGTTTCAGAGCAATAAATTAAATCGTCAGTTTTTAAGAAAAACTTTGACACCCCGTATCTCGGAAAACGAATCATTTGCGGACATACGTTTATGAGCAAACTGCCATTACTTTCTCATGTAGAATCACCCCCTGAAATTTGTCGCACTTATTTACTAACACCCTGTATAACTCTTAGTTTCTCTGGTTCCATTAAACGCGGCATCTTGAATTACCAAGCAAAATCACTAATGACACTTACATAAAAACTTCTCATAATAAGAAAAGTAGATCACACCACATTAGAAAAATAAATTGTCCACTTTCAAAGGGCCCGCACCGTTACGAACTGTGTGTCCCGAAGTCTATTAATCAGAAAGTAATAAAACAAAAACTTTTACTATGAATATTTACTATACCTATATATAATATATATAAAATATTCAGTTCAAAGTATATAAAAAGTAAAAAAACTATCACGAAGATTTTGAGGCAACAGCGTCTATGGCAAAACACCTGCAATTGCAGCCTGTAACAGGACATTCCTGGTGCTCCCTAAAAATAAAAAAAACTCAAGACAAGAGCTTCAATCAAACAGCCTCTTGAACTACTTACTTGAACCACTGCGTCATGTGACCAGAGTGACCACCGTGCCTACAACTCTGACACCAGGTAAACCAGTTATCGAACGACACAGACTTGGAAGTGTCCATTTCTCCCATTGTGGTAGTCCCCATGTGCATCAGGCAAATCGAACATCTCGGCAATGGTTTACGACAATTGGGACATGAAGATAACTGAATATATTAAAATTATACATTTCTCTAACAAAAAACTTGTATCGTAGTTAAACTCATCCTTACCTTGTTAGCGGTGCCGGTCATCCTCTGGAACTGCCCCCTGCCCCGATTCAGGGCGGCCATATAAGCCGATATGCTCTTCCCGCAAAAGCTGCAGGAAATGTAAACCTGTCGCGGAGGCTTTTCATTGGGTTTGAACTGAGCCAACATGATGTCGAAATCGGCTCTCTCGTAGAATAACTTCCAGGTATCCAATAGATGCCTATAACTGAAATACCAAATTATAGACGAAAACTTGACATCCACAAGAACAATGAAGAGAGTGACATCTATTATTTCATTTAAAATCACTCTCATTAACTCATTTTTGATTATTTCTATAATTTTTTGGTAATATCTATTAACCACCCTGGAGAAAAAAATATCGGCAAATCTTCAGCAACAAGACAAATTGAGAACATATTACAAAAAAATCACAAAACTGGGTTTTCTTTACCTGATAACAGCAGTTTTTAGAAAAAAAATGTTTATAATACTGCATATATTAAAAAATTCTATAAAAAGTTTTTTTTTAATGATTAACTGATATCAAAAATCCGTATATTATACTGAAAATAAATATTATTAAACATGAATTTTTTCTTTGGGTACAGGGAATTTTAAACACAGAATTTTACGTTTCTTATGAATATACATGGTGTTTCAAATTAAAGTGGTGACACTTATCTAAGGAATCAACAAAGATAATTGGAGCAAAAACTGATGCCACCTTTACTAAAAATCAGTTTTTGAAGCCTTTAGAGCAGAATACAACTTTTATGAGAATGTATTTCCTAAAATTAAAAAAAAATATATCTGAATACTCAATTTTGGTGGGAAATCCTGATGAATTCCAATTAATTTTAATTCCAATATAACTTATTAAATAAGCAAGTACTGAATAAAGCGTGAATGAAACTTACAGTGGCGGCTCGCCAGGTGACGCAAGTGACGCACTGCTTCACCTAAAATTTCCGTTTGGTTGTGCAATTCAAAATAAATAAATTTTATAATTTAAGCATAATTCCTTATTGAAAATGTATTGTGTTTATTTGTTTTATAGGCAGAAATAAAGAGAATAGTTACGAGGTGAACGGCTTCTAAAAAAACATTGCCTTCGTTGAGCGCGAACATCAACCTAGTACCATGCAATGTATAGTATAAGCAAGTGACGCTGATCAAAATCAGTCTGTATTCCGCTTCTCTTTGTAGTGTTGTTTACAGTGATAGTCATGGCAATGAGGCGGTCAACATGTGAGTAAATTACGACGTGGGGGGAACGAGTGACGCGGAAATTGAAGCAGCATTGTCATCACCCATCACCTGCCTTTAACTTTAAACAGTTTATTTATACAATATGTCGCCCAGTGAACGATTATAACGGTTCTGTATGTATGTATGTATGTATGTCGGGGGGTGGTGGAAAATTGCTTTTCCACCGCGGCACTTAGGCCTTATTAGGCCCCTTGTGTACCCCCCTTCAATACTCGAGTACTTTTCTTCAAACCATCCTATTACTACACGGGTGGCTTGATGGCAAAGTCTCGTACAATTTTTATGTATGATAGAATGGTCTTGAGTTACAGAGATTTATTGCTCTATTCTCATTACCATTTTTATCGGGGACCACACACAAGCAGAAGGTGTTGAGCTACCCAGGTCTCTGGTAGGCTGCCACAGCCACGTCCCCGAGCCTGCCTTAGGTCACCCATCCAAGTTCCAGCCTGCATCCGTGATGCTTACCTCGGTCGATCGAAATTCATCGGCCAAGACACCCATCTAGGTGGTCCCCTTATAACGGTTCTTTGTTAATATTTGTTTTGTATCAATAATTGTAGAAATGTTTCCTCTGTATGATCCAGTATGTATTTTATTGGAAACGCCATTTTTCAGACAGAAAATTGAGGACAAGAAGGACTTTTTAAGTTGCGAGAGCCTATCCCTTCTCTCGATGTGGAAAAAGGAGAAGTCAAAAGACAAAGTGTACGTTCAGAAGTTTCGGAATGAATGGTATTGGGAGTATAAGCGGTTGTGTGGAACTGTTTATTTAAATAAACTTTTCTGCATACCGTGTTTAATTGTGGGTGTATAGTCGGGCGTGTGGAATAAGGAGGCATTTAACAATTTTGGGAGTCATGCGAGGCTGTCGTAACCACGAAGTTTCTTTGGAACATATACTGTGTACTTTAACATTCACAGAAGTCCACGAGCTGAACTAATTTCTAGTTTTTCTAAAATCTAAATGAAAATCCTTCTCGCGAACGTTAGTTTTTCGGTAATATTGCAAATGCAACTAAAAATTTAAAGATTCACTCTGTAAAATCTTATCACTTCTTTCTGCCAGTTTACAAATGATGGTACTGGAAAAAAATTGGTCTAATTTCTATTATTTCTAATGTGAAATATAGGCAACCCTAATAATTGATTTCTAGTCTTAATAACCTGTAATCTGAAGAAGTTCAAACAGGATATCATTGGAGAAGAAGAAGAGTAGTTCAAGTGTACTACACAAAATAGGAGAAAAATCTTAAAAACTATATAATTTATGTATTTACCGCTTACTTTTCTATCCAGTCCTTTACAATTTGGGTGCCAAGATCTGCATGAAAACCACGAAGTGCAATCAAAGCAGTCGACTGTATGTCACCAGTCGCATCCAGGTATTTCTGTAATAGCCTTAATCCATCGTTACTATTTCCTATAAGCGTAATCAAACTGAATATAATATTTTCTTCATTCCGTATGACATAAATTACCTGTCAACAGTAAACCGTCCAAATTTCCGTCATCGCAAAGTTTGTCCGACAGCCACCTTAGATATTCTAACAGTTTACCGTCAGGTAAAAACATGCAAGCAAAAGCCACACGATCGTCAACAGCAACACCAGCTTCGGTCTGCAATATAAATGTACATTTTGTTAAAAAAGTATACGGAATTTGTCGTTTAAAAATTCTGCGTGAAGTAAATTTAAATTGTTTTGTTTGAAAGTTGGTAGCAATGTACTCTACTCTGACGTGAAGTTTGAGCACGATCTGTCAAAGAGTCAAGTAGTTTGTTTACAGCTGTTAATTTTGTTAGTCCACCTAGAGTGTGTTCTGCAATTGTTTCTATGGATAATGTTATTGAACAAACTTCAACAGAAGAAAACATCGACAAACATATCTCAAGAATCAGTTCGCACCATTTTGGTTGATGTTTTGAGTATAAAACGCATCGCATCATAGCTGGTCACAAACATGTTGCTGAAGACATGCTTAAACGAGCTAATTCACATTCTACATTCATGCAACGCATCATTAGCCTTTTTTTCGTGACTGAATATTGGTGAATATCTGACTTGTAGTTACTATTTCCATTTCTTTTGATCTTAGTTGTCATATGGTAGTTTAAATCTCTTCACTCACTCATACTACACATACCACAACATACAACTTCACTCGCGAAAAAAGCCTATAATGGGTGACAAAACATGGGTGTACGTGGTTGGCATGCAAACGAGTCAACAAACTTAGGAGTGATGTTTTTCTAATGAGTTGCAACCAAAAAAAGAAACACGTCAAAATCGATCAAAAATTAAAGTCATGTTGACTGTTTTCTTTGACTGTCGTGGCGTTGTCCAAACAAAATTCCTTCTGGATAGAGAAGCACTCAACAAAGAATATTATCTGGGAGTTATGGGGCATTTGAGAGAGTATTTGTCGTAAAAGACCAGATTTATGGCAGAACAATAATTCTTAGATTTTGGACCACAATGATGCATCACACAAAGCGATAATTGTAAATGAATTTTTTATTGAAAACTCAATAAATGTTATCGAGCAGCCACCGTATTCACCGGATATGGCCCCTGCTGACTTTTTCCCTTCTCCCACTCAAATTACTATGGAACACCTTTCGAGTCGATAGAAGCCATAAATCAAAAATCGCTGAAAGAGTCGAGGTCCATACCGGAATATATATTTAAAAAGTGCTTTAACGACTGAGTTGTTCAACATGTATTGCTTCATATTTTGCCTATTTCGAAAAAGTTATTCACCATTCCTTCTTGTGTACAAAGCAAGAGGGAAAGAAATGCTTACTTTACTTTTTCTGTTTTACTTACCAAAACGGTATCGTAGTTATAATTCTCGGCAGTCAGGAACCCAAACATAGCCTTTAAGTAGGGATCTGTTAATTTACTCTTAGAAGTGGAGCAGAATTGCTTCCAAACGCTACCAGCATCGTCTGAAAATCCCGCTAATGCCATTGCAACAACGTTCAAACTGGATCCGTATTCCGTGCTGTCCGGCGCACGACTTAACAAATCGATGGCAAGTTGTACTCTCAAGTTAAAAACGGCTATTGCGGCTGCTCTCGTATATGCCCCTTCTTTCTCTAACTGTTCCAGGAATTTTGATAAGGACGTTATGTCTCTGTCTAAGGGCCAACTGCATAGGTGTAAGATTTTGTCTCTTTCTTCGTGCCTACAAATTTCAGATTATTTTTTAGACCAAAAATTATTTAAAATGTAGATAAGGTTACCTGTAATATTTAGCGGAGCCTTGGCAATTTGGATTTCCAAGTTCTGCCCAAGTAACGATGACAGTTTCAGATTTAGTAGTATTTAAATCCATTTTGGATATAATAGAGGTAACACCCGGATGTCTACAAGACATTCCTCTGATGATGCCATCATCCACCAACTTTGCACTCAAATGTAACCAGTTCCATACATTTGACAACACCTCATTATTGTTCACCAATTTAGCATTTTTATAAAAATCCTCCTAAAATATAATGTTCATTATACATTATAAAACATTATCTATAGAAAAATTAATAAACCTGTAATCCATAACGTGTTTTGGCCCCCTCCTTCATTCTAGTAGAGACGTCATAGAGAAAGGAGTCGTTAATGCACCTCAACGTTTTCCTGCCTTTTGACCAAATGATATTAGAAGTTGGTGTCCAATTAACCGTACTTCTATCGAAAACCGTGTAATCTTTTATTGTACCTAAAAAACAGGAAGCTTATTCCAAAATGCAACATATTACTGAATCCAAACCTGACACAGCGATCGTTAATAGTCTGTTCTCATCGTTACTATGCCATGAAAATGAGGTTATGTTGTGCGGAGATCCAGGAACAACGACCCTTTCCATTACAGTTGGTTCCACCTCTTCATTACCGACAATTGTATGTTGAATGTCATACAAATTAATTACGGAACTATCTTTTTGTAATGATGCCAATACACTAGACCTAAAACAGATATTTTCATATTAGTGAAACATGTTTATGAGCCAGTCATAGATTTGACAGTATACAATGGATGGAGTCAAAGCCGACTTCCTGTGCATGGTAGTTGTTCCAACATGAACTGTAAAATTGACAGCAATTTTCATCTATATGTAAAATACGCAATAACACTTGATACCATGTAATGGATATAATAAATCGCTCCTGATAAGCCTGCAAATGCCCTGAGTGAGGAGATGTGAGACTAGTTTTATCTCACTTTACCTTCTCTTTCTGCATTCTATCCATAGTATACTGTTAAATCGATGGAGCCAGTAATCTGTTTTTAACTTTTACAACCAATTAGAAAACAGAAAGAATTAACAATTGATACAATTTAACAAAATTCTGTCGAATGTTTTCAAAATCAGTGTCCTATAAAAGGGCTGTAATTTAAGTGACAACTGGATAAAATTTACATTATTACCGTGTTGGACACCATTCTATTTTCAACAACTGTTTAACATGTGATAAAGTTTGTATTGGTTTTTCAAAATTTCGCAAGTCCCACAAATATATCATGTTATCAAAGAAAGAGGCCAAATGCTTGTCCTCGTGAGGGTTTGTGGATATCCCATACACAGCTTTGGTGAGTGTGGAATTTATCATCTTATTAGGATCTAAAATCTCAAATTTTAATTAAATTAAATTAAGAAATAACCTAAATACCTCTCATATCGTATATTTTTATATTTTTCATATTCATGCCACAAGCTAGAAGTCTACTGGCGCAATGAAACCATGCCAAACTATTGGCGAGTTCAGACATCCCGAACTCAGCCACTGGTTTCACAAGCTCTACTGCAGGTGCCATAGTATTTACCGCTAGTCGGCCGCTATTGCTACTGTCAGTATTAGAAAATTTATTTATGTCCCATATGAGGACGGAACTGTCAGATCTGAATTTGTCCAACCCAGTAGCTATCAACTGAAAATCATTTCGGTTGAATAACACCACATTGCACTGTCTCGGATGTTTAGGGACTGAAAAACATAAATATTATGTTTTAATATTACTGTGAACAAAGAAGTATACAGCATTAGATAATTAGACAACTTAAGAAGTATTTCTTAGAAAACATTGGTTTCCAAAATATAAAAATGTTACTCATATTCATACATATTTTTTGTTGCTTAAGAAATACCATCTGTGCTTCAGTGTTTAATACCTAGCTCCTTTCCTGGAAAACCTCGTGAATCATATTCTGAAGGGCCGAATGTGGATAATGCCACTCTTCCATTGGTAAGCCCTATGGCTAACAAAAGATCTGTTTCTGATTTTGGATAGATGTCAACACTACGAACATAACGATGATTTGTGTTTGTAGCTAAAAGCTGGGCACAGTGTGTATTGGATATACTAAATACTGTAACAAATGTGATAGTTAAATTGTAAACGTTTCATTAAAGAAATATTATAAATATAAAACACATTTTCTTATAATCTGCTCTCTTTTTACGTTGTTTACTATAATTACATTGCAAATGTAAACAATGTCAAACATAAACAAAAATTCTTACCATGGGCAGAAGTTTCCCTAGTTGGTTGTACTTCATATAAACATATTTCTGAACCCCACGTGATAAACTTGTTAGAAATTGGAGACCACTGGATCTCCAATTTTCCGGCCATATCGGTTCTCAGTTTACTACGACTAAAACGATTGAAACGACAGAAAAACTATGTAAATAAACTTTTAGGTTAGGCATGTTTGTCACTTGTCAGTTTATCTCACATTTCGCAATCGCATTCACATTTCCTGTTTTCCTCCTTTATGTATGTGTATGTATTTGTCGTTTATTAGAATAGGTACAAAACGATTTTTTTTATACATGTTAAAAGACAATAAACAAGGACTTTGACTATGAAGAAGAAGAAGAAGAGAAACTTGGATAACCTACACAAATTTAATATTTATTGAAGTATGTAATGTATATTATGAAATATTGCTGTTTTTGTGGTAGTTATAAATAATTACAATTTACAGTACAAATTAGCTAATAAATATTATGTAGTTGAGGAAAACTATTAAAACAGAGACTAAGATATGACGAATCACATAAATAATGTGTTAAAACAAGCTATCACAACATTCACCTGCAAGCCTGAAGTGTTCTCTTTAAATCTTCATTCCCTTATTTCGCTGTTAGATAAAACGACCGCCGAAGATGTGAATTTTCCTTTCGAGTTTACCAAGGAAAGGGTATGGAAACAACCCCGTAAAGCACCTGTTACTTGTATAGATATATTCGAAAATTCTCACGTTACCATGGGCATCTTTATCCTTAAACCGGGTGGTCGACTGCCACTGCACAACCACCCTGAAATGTATGGTTTGATAAAAGTGATTGCAGGAAAAGTTAAAATAACAAGTTATTCTTTAAATACAGAAAGAACTTTAGAAATAGATAGAAGAAGTTTTAAGGGTGAATCTGCTCCACCAATTAGTTTTGGTCATAAACAATTGCTCACAGCAGAGCTTAGTTCTAGTGAAATTGTGGATACTACTAGTACAACTTGTATGTTGGAACCGAACAGGAAGAATTTACATGAAATTGAAAGTATTGATGGTCCAGCGGCATTCCTAGATATTTTGGCACCTCCTTATGGCACAATTATTCCAAATGTGGGCCCTAGATTGTGTTCCTATTATGCTGTCCTAAGCCAGATCTCGTCAAATATATTCCGCTTGCAAGAAATCAGGTCTCCTTCATGGTATTGGACTGATGCTTTTCCATATTCAGGTCCAGAATTAGTTTTGTAAATTTCAAAATTTGTTGTTTAATGTTCATAACACTTTAAGTAAGATAAGTTGATAATTTCATGTTTTTTTACACCTTGCTAAGATTTAAAATTACAAATGTAATTTGAAGTGTTTATGATTTGAGTGGGTATTGATGTATTGGTAATATTTTATGATATGCAAAATGTCAGCTTTATTCAATTTTTATAACTGGTTAATGTTTGAAACACTAAGGTCTATATTTCAAATTTACTAAGTCAGTACATATTTTGTTTCTAAAAAATTGGTCTTTGGCATCTTGGCTCTCCTTTTCCTGTAAATATTATGTAAAATATAATTTATTTCTAAAAATTTGTTTGACTCGTAATTATATAGGTAAATAATTCAGATATCCTGGCCTGATTTAAACAATTCTGCAATAGGTACAACAAATTTGTAGTTAAATAAAAAATTTGTGTATAAAATTTTGATTTGTAGTAATTTGGATTCAATTTGCTTAAAATAAGACTAGATAAAATTGAATTTATTTTATTGGTGAAATATCATTTATTATTAATTTGTTTTGAAATACCAATTTCAGGTTATTACTAGAAAACAATGTTATAACAATTCACATTGATAATATCAATAACTTCATTGTTGTTAGTAAACATGTTTTTCTCACATTATCAATACATTATCATCAATATATTATCATTCTATTAATGATTTAAAACTAGGGAAATGTTACACTTCACAGTTTAAGTAAAAACGGGGTTAAAATGTATTTAAACATTTTATTGTAAAAATATTAATAACAAGATAATTGTTAACTAAAGTTAATAACAATCGTCCAAAATTGTAAAACTAATATACCTATACAAATAATCAGAAATAAATTAAATAACCACACTTTGAGAGTAAATGTTTAGGCATAAAGTTTATTAAGTATTTAATAAGATCTATACAAATTATTCAGAAATTTTTATTGACTCGGTCTGTTATTACGCAAATATGTGGATATATTTGATTCTGTGTAGTCCAAAATTTTTCGCTGACACTGTCTAATATACTGCTGTTGCTTGTGGTATATTCTCAAGCATCCTTTAACTGCTATGAAGGTTAAACCTCCTAAAATAGTTTTATGAAAATTCGATTTTACGGAATCAAAGAAGAATTTTCCAAACATATTTGCGATGGTGGGCATCAGCAGAGCTCCACATAGTACTCTCGTGGCCGACACAGGATTTGAGAGTGGAGGAAGGTCATTCTCATTCGTTGATTCGCTCGTATTTGCCGATACTTCAATTCTAAAAAAAAGATACGTCATGTTTTCATAAATGTTATAAATTTCATGGATATCAACTTTCTACATTGAATTTTATACCTGAAAGGCATAAAATTTCTAATAACTGGAATCTTCACCAGATTTCTCCTCATGAAATTTAACACTGCGTCTTCCCATCTAATCATTTTTCCTAAGACCAGAGCAACTGGAATAGCAGGCAAACCAATAAGCAGGACCAAGGGATCTGCTTGTTCCATTACAGATAAACCCTCCTTTTGTCCTACAACCTGGAATAAAACAAAACTTCAATAGAATATTGTAAATGAAATTTCAGGTGTTGTTTACCTGCATTACAGTAATAGCTCCATATGTAACGGCACACCAGTAAATTGCGCCTACCACAATGCCAGCTGCCAAAAAAGGGCATCCTTTATATATAAAACTATCGACTGTATCTAACAGAAGAACCAGTATACCCATATTTGGAAAAACTATTATATATTCCGTTTGACACTGAGGACAGGTAACTTTTCCTAAGTTACCACCTTTTTGTTTTTCATCTACCCATCGCTGAAGGCATGACTGATGCACCTAGAATATTAATTAAAAAATGTTTAGTTTTATGACAAATAAATGCAATCCTATATTTTAACTATGTAACCTACTTATCCACAAAACCTATAGGTTTGTGTACTTACCCATTTTGTTGTACCACGACATTTGCATGGTCTGACCCAAGCTGCTTCTGTGTCCTCCTCATCGGTTGCAAAACAAACCCAGCAATACCTGGTCGATTCCTTATTTTCAACGGGAATATCCTTATTTTCAGAAGTCTCCGGGTTCTGTTGTTCTGCGCTTGTATCCATTGTTGATCTAATTTATAATTTCATAACAAATAATTTAGTGGTAACTGATGGTGCTTTTAAAAGTGATGTTGAGTGTATTGTAAATTTATAATTGACTCATGTTGTCAACTGTTGTACTGGATTTTTATTGGAAAAAGAAATTAGGTATTTCACGTCAAATGTCAAACTTGTCAACTTTCTACACATGCAATGCTACCAAAACAAGAAACCGAATACGAAAAACTTCATATTCTGAAGTTGGGCACAGAACTTTTTCAAGAAGAAATATTGCCTATATTTATAAATTATTTCAATAATTTAATTCAACTGTAAACATTTTTAAAATAGGTTATGTTACAATGAAATTTCTGTACAAAACTCTAAAACGAAATAAAAGTATTTGCAAGTTTCATCCCATAGATTTTCTCACTAGATAATTAATATCTTTTATTTTAATGTTGGTGGTGCTGGCCTGAGCACTATAAGGGTTTTTTGGCGAGCCAAACCACTTCAAACCCGGTTAGCTCGAGTTTGATTGTGTTAAGATCCTCCAAAACTCCTTAGACCAACTTGAAACCTGGTGCAACAGGTGGAAAGTCAAAATTAATCCCAACAAAAGTTCGGCTATCCTTTTTACCAAACGAAAAATCCCACAAAACCTCGACAGACTGACACTATCCCAGGAACCTATCTCCTGGAATCGACAAACACGATACCTGGGCGTGACGATGGACCAGCGTCTCACGTGGAAACCGCACATCGTGGAGACGGTGGCGCGAGCGAAGACCACCAGGGCTAGGCTCTATCCCTTACTCAAAGGTGGAAACACCCTCAGTTTAAGGAATAAGCGAACGCTTATCAAGGTGGTACTTCAACCGCAGCTAACCTACGCCTCCACGGCGTGGGGTCACGCGGCAAAAAGCCACTTAAAGTCATTACAGGCTGTGGAAAACATAGCCCTCCGCACGGCCACCGACGCGCCCTGGTACGTAAGAAACACTGACATATTACGAGACTTACAATACACAAACGCTACACAGACAATAAGACAAAACGCGGAGAAACGATTTGACGTAGCCGCTAGACATGACAATCCCCTCCTCAGGCAA